AGGTGTGTTTGTGGTTGTGCATGTGTGTGTGTGTGTGTGCATGTGTGTGTGTGCATGTGTGTATGTGTGCGCGCGCGCGTGCGTGCGTGCATGCGTGTGTGTGTGTTGGGGGTGGGCATGAAGGGCTGGGGTGGGGGAGATTGCAGGAGGAGGGGAAATCAAGTACTCAATGTGCACTGTGTTCGGATATAAAATGTTCCCCGCAGGTTCACATGCTAAACATTGTTCCCTGTTTGGTCATTCTGTTTGGAGAGGTTGGAAAAGCTGAGAGGAAACTAGCTAGAAGTGGGACCTCCCTGGAAGAAGTATGTCACTAGGGCAGGACCCTGGCTATCTTGTTTCTGCCTTCTTGAACACCCTGCTGCTTCCTGCCAGCCACGAAGCTGCTTCCTCTTTCACCCTTCCCAGTGGCCATGAAGTTACAGCTCACCAGAATCAACTGAGCAAAAGGCTATGGATTTTGTTTTAAAGGCAGAGTCTCACTCACTATATGGCCCTGGCTGACCTGGAACTTGCTATGTAGACCAGGCTGGCCTCAAGCTCACAGCAATCCAAAGGGCTGTAACCATGAGCCCAAACAATTTGTTTACTACCCTTAAATGATTTTCTCTGTTATTCTGATGACAGTGGTTCAGAGTAACTAAGAGCCCTGGCATTCACTCAAGATCCCAGCAGCAAATAAGAAGGGAGAGGAGGGAACTGAGGTGGGACTCGGTTAGGACTCACAGAGCCTCCACAGCCCACCGTCCTCCTGCAGGCCTGTGACTGTCCTGAAGCATCACCTCCACTATTGGCTCCCTGTGCAGCTGGCACCAAGATCAGGCCTGAGTCAGGAAAGTCAGGGTCTTTTTCACTGCCTTAAAGGAGGAAACTGAGCTCCAGGAAGGCGATGCCACCTGCCCAAGGTCATGGATTGAGGGAGTGGCACAGTCAGAACTAAAGAGGCCATCTGGTTCCCAAGCCTGCCTAGGTCCTGCTCAAGGAGACCAGGGGCGCTTGAGTCTCCAGTCTCTCCTCCCTCGGCTTACTTGGGTACAGCCGAGGGTGGATTCGGACAACTTTGAGCCAAACACCCCAGAGCTAGGAGGGCCCTTGCTGGGCATAGCCAGACACACTGACAGGTCACATGTGGCACCTTAGTGGGTGGTGGCAGGAAGTCCCCAGGGAAACCAGATTTGTACTTCCTCACTGGGTGGGAACATTCTCCTGACCCTTTGCTTTCCTAAGCCTACTTCCTGATGACTTTTTGGGGACATTAGCAGTTATGCCAGGGACTAATGGCCTTACTTTTCACTTCCTGGGAAACAAATTGTACCTGAGTATATCTGCTAATATTGACTTTTTATTAACACGTTTTCTTCTTAGAGATTACACAGGGAGTTTGCAAATTCCCAGGTTGACAGTTCATTGAGTCAGGGAGCCAGGGAGAGGCTGATGACTCATGAAAGGGACTGTGTGGGAGTCATGTGGCTCTGAGACCCAGAACCAAGGTCTGCTCAGGACAGCTCTCCAGCGTTTACCTGCCTCAGCTGATGGAGTCTCAGTGCCCAGCCCAGGGCTCCTTCTACATAGCTCTAGCTACCTGGAGTTCCTGAGGGCAAAGGCCAGACTTCCTTCTGCTGTATTACGTGGAGAAGAACCCCAGATCCTGCACTGGACACTGGGTGAACAGCATGGAACCTTAAGGGGCCCAGAGCCACACAGACAGATGACAACTCAGAGTGCAAGGCGCAGTCACGGGGATGGCTCCTTCCCAAAGTGGGTGCGGAAGCCTGGAGCCCCTGTTAGGGAGCAATGTGGACAAAGGCTTTTGGGAGAGAGACACATTAATACAGTCCTAAGCTGTCCCTGGTTCATTCATTTGTAAATGAATTCATTTACTAAAGTGACTGAATTTGGAGAGAAAAATAAAGTGTGGTTCTTGTCTCCAGGGAGCTCACTATGGTCTCTCCTGGAAGACAGGCTGGGGTACAGTACAGGAATTTTGTTCTTGGCAAGGAGGCACATGGCTGAATACTGTTTATCATAATATTTATAGGGCTCTTGCTGTATGCTAGGTTAATCCTCTCATCAACCCCATGGGTTAAAAGGGGAACACTGGTACAGAACGGTTATGGAATTTTCCAAAACACACAGATCAAATCTGAACTCGGGCAGCTTGGCCCCGAGCATCTGCTCCTGCCTGCCCAGCCACGGGAATAAATGAGCAGTTGTACCAACAACCATCTCCCTAGAGCGTTCTCCACACTGCCCCTCCCGAATCCCCCAGCTTCCGGCCTTGTGCCCCCTGGAGCTCTTTCTGGCTGCCTAGTCACCAGGGCTTGGCCCTTGCCTCTGGCTGTAGGCATGCACCATCAGCAGAGACCTCTAGGGCAAAGCTATTTTGTTTTTGGCTCACTTTGAAAGTGCATCATCTCTGAAGACCTGAGGTCCAGCATCTTCGGTTCTCCTCCCAGGAATGAGAGGCATTTAACATACAATTCCCATTCTTAGCTCTAGCCCTGATATAGGTGCTCAGATGGAGACATGGGTACCCTTTTGTAGGACAACTAGCAGAAGACACAGTCAGTTTAGACTCCTTCTTGCAGCCATTGTAACGAGCTCCTAACTGGCCTCCTCTCTGGTCCCTTCTGCAACTCCATCATCCTTTATCAGAAGCAGGCACTTCTAGTCTTTCGGCTG